AGAGAGAGAGAGGGGGGGGGTGGGGGGCCGAACGATCCTATAAATTACATTCTTCATAGCTGGATTGTGGCTAAAAATATGAGTAAATAAACACAATGAGTACAGCAATGATATTCATTGAGCAAAAAACAATGGGACGAAAACTACTGTTAAACGTGGGTCGCCTGCAATCTCCGCCATCGATATACCACTCAATCAGATTCGTACGGTTCCACCGGTTAGTCGGCTTCCGAGGGCTGTATTCATTCAATTTGCGGCATAAATGACAGAAATACTTGTAATGAGTGAGTTGTGGACAATAACTCTTCTTCCACAACATATACGAGTTATACAATTGTTTATTATTTGAGACCAATTTGAGATATTTGGCCAAATCCTTAGTAGTTTTAAAATCTTTTACATTTATAAATGAATTGTCAGGCATTATAAGCGAATAGTCGGCCGAACCGTACACTACCTGTCAATCAAATCAATTGATTCAAAAATTAATAACAATACATAACAAAACCACAATTAACTCACAGGTATTATATCGTATGAAATGATTTTAAACAACTTTTCTGTCACATAGTCTTTACATAACTGTTAAACAAAAAAAAACAAAATTATCAATAATTTTAAAAAAAAGATATTAAAAGTGAAGCAAAAAATAAACCGAATTCTCAAATGAAAGGTAAAACTTGTATTTCTTAACGATCGCCGAAAGACAAGTGCCGTCTCGCGAACAGTATTGACCACAATTTCCAAAGATATCAATATCGATGTGTTTGCGAAGATCGTTGACATACGTCTCTCGATTGCTAGAAGTGTGACAATTGGACACAATCCACGCCACGAAACCGCTCTTGCCGTCGAAGAGATCCTCGTTGTGCCACTTTGTATCACATTTGGTGACCGACCCGTACGGCACGTAAATGTCTGAATCGCGTCTATAATTAATAAACCAATCGATGTGATTGAAGAGATGGCGCACGTTATAGGCCGGCGAATTCTCGGGCGATTCCCAGTTGAAGAGCACCCACTTCTGACCACTGGTCACAGCCGCCGCATTCTTTG